AATACTTTCTTCTTTGCATTGGCTGTGGTGAGTCAGGGCATGGGGGTGCCTACCATTTGGGATGTCGTCATTAGAACAAGAAATAAGCATCAAGTGGGTGGCTGAAGTCAATCTAATTTCAGGCCTTTGGAAAGAATTAAAATAAAGGCAGGCTTGCAAATTGAGCCAAGTTCATCAAAGTCAGGAGCCAGATAGGTAGGGACCACAGGTTATACCTTAAGGAGCCATAATGAGGATATGTGAGCCTCAGGGGATCAGTTCATGTGTTCTTCAATATTTCGGCAGGGTGACAGCCATTGGGAGTTGGATAGGTGTCAACGTGGCCAAGGAAGTGAGAAAATACAAATTTACCAGATGACAAAAGACAGGCTGTTTCTCATTTATAAACATGAAGGTTTGAGATCATTCTTGAGTTAGCTGAATTTTACTGCAGCCAAGAGATCAAAAAATGGGACAGCTGCAACTATGTGACAACCTCTGAATTGTGTAAGCCAGTAACAAAGAGACTACACTGCAGCCACTGGCCACATGTAGTGACCCAGCACTGAATATAAATAATCAAAAATTAGATGTGCTCTAAGCATAAAATACATGCTGGATTTTGAAGACTGTACAAATAGAAAATAAATTAACAATGTTTATAAATTAACACATATTAAAATGATACCACTTTAGATAAATAAAATATACTATAAAATTAATTTTACCTGCTTTTTGTTTAAAGTACCTTCTAGAAAATTCAAAATTGTACAAATATGGCTTGCATTAAAGTTCTCTTGAATAATAGTCTCTATTATTATAATGCTACAGCTGTTAGAACCTTAGAGATCTGAATGCATTTCTTCATAGATTTAGAAAGTCTCAAAAGAGGCTAAGGAACCTGCCAAAGTCACAGAAATAGGGGCGGAACCAACTCTCTCACCTCCACTTCCAAGTGTGTTAATGAGGAATGTATCCCTCTGCCTCCTTGTATTTTTTTTTTTTTTTAAGACAGAGTCTCACTGTGTCACCCAGGTTGGAGTGCAGTGGCATGATCTTGGCTCACTGCAACCTCCAACTCCTGGGTTCGAGCAATTCTCCCGTCTCAACCTCCCAGGTAGCTGGGATTACTGGCACGCACCACGTGCCTGGCTAATTTTTGTGTTTTTAATAGAGATGAGGTTTCACCAGGTTGGCCAAGCTGGTCTCAAAGTCCTGACCTCAAGGGATGTGCTCACCTCAGCCTCCCAAAGTGCTGGGATTATAGGCATGAGCCACCATACCTGGCCTTTCCTTGACTTTTTTTTGAGGCAGAGTCTCACTCTGTCCCTGGGCTGGAGTGCAGTGGCATGATCTCAGCTCACTGCAAACTCCTCCTCCAGGGTTCAAGTGACTCTCCTGCCTCAGCCTCCCTAGTTGGGACTACAGGCGCTCACCACCACACCCAGCTAATTTTTGTATTTTTAGTAAAGACGAGGTTTCACCATGTTGGCCAGGATGGTCTTGATCTCTTGACCTTGTGATCCGCTCGCCTTGGCCTCCCAAAGAGCTGGGATTACAGGGAAGAGCCACCACACCTGGCCTTTCCTTGTATTTTTTAAACAATATACAATTAAAGTAGCTAATATTGAAGCCTAAGAACTTTTTTTCCAAAGTAGTGCAAACTTTCTATATCTTAAATAATACTTTGTGTGCTTAATCTAATATGGGCAGGGGTAATATAGGCTCATCCTAGTCAATCAAAAATAATCCATTTCTGATTTCTCCCTGAGCTTTGTCACTTGACTGGGGCATTCTGACAGCTTCTACAGTGATAGATATGCTCACTAACTAAAGGCTGGATGCCGTACACCAAATATACACTTGAATTCCGAATTATACTCCACTTGCCTAAAGCCAGCAGTTTTCTTCATGAATTCATCAGGCTGTTTCCTCTGTATAAACTCTGCCTCTACCTACAATTAAAAGTTTCATTTTCTAGACTAACAAACAAAAAAAAAAAAATCAATCACATACCATGATAAACATTTCAGAAACCTCATGTTTTTCACAAAACATCTTACTTTAACAAGGTAAATTAAATAAAACTTGGGTTTACATAAGGTATAAGATAAGCAAAGTTTTGATTCTGAGTACTTTAACTACAGATGTTTCCATTGACAAAAACGATTAGTTTAAGAGTATGCACCAACTCTAGAGTAAGTATACTGCCATCATTTTAGGCATGCCGAATGCCAGTGGTCATGGGACACCCAAGTGTAAATGACTAGTACATTTGTGAGTTACAGCAAAGGAGGTAAAAACTGAAGTTAAAACGTAATGTCCCTAAGAGGAAAAAGTACTCACCACATTAAAAAAAAAAAAATAGCCTTGTGGATTACTCATAAATGATGGAATCCCTAATGAAGAGATGCTTGAGAAGACTGGATATGCAAAGTAGGACAACTAGGTAGTCTGCGTGTCAGGAGGCTGACAGCGGCAGCAGAGGCATCACAGGCATTCAAAACTGTAATTGGATCTGGCCATGAGGAATTTATTAAGATTGTGCCAACTTTCACTTACTCGTCATCTGGGTTTTGTCTCAAATACTCTATTGAAACTACTTTCTTGAAATTCCATATTCAATGGTAACTTTTCAATCTCTCCTTGAAAATGTTACCATTGCCACTTTCTTGAAACTCCATTTTTGGTTTGTTTACTTGACAGAACAGACTGGTAGTTGTCCTATTCTTCTATTTTTTTGTTTGTTCTCCTTTTGGACTTTGGCTCAGACCCCATAATTATAGGCTTCACAGTGTGTGGACTTGTCTGTCTTCCTTCTTTATCCTTTATTCATTGGAATCCCATGCTTTCAAATATTCATCTAACTGCAGAGAATATTTCAATACTACATGACCTAGCACATGCTTTCTCCACCTATCTGCTGACTAAAGAAAAGGAAGAAGAAAGGAGAGAGAATGAGGGAGGGAGAGGTGGAATGGGAGGTTCCGTGGAGAAGGGAAGGCCTGGGAGGTGGAGCACCCAATGCTCCAAGATTTGGGGATCCAAGATTTGGAGATGTTATGCATAGCTTATGTGTATTTAAGATACAGGAAGGATGACATTTTCAACTTATCTGTTTTTGTCACTGAGGTTTAGAAAAGGAGAAAAGATGTGAGTGCGATGCTGAAGTCATATGAGAAGGCAAGTAGATGCTAAAATGAGGAACATCACTATGGGTATGGTAAAGAGTCACGGTGAGTTTATCCTTTCATTAAAGATAACTACGCTGGGGATGCTTGAGTTAGGAAGAACACAATATATATCCATCCTCAGAGGGTCCATTTGGATGCAATTCTTACTAAGGAAAGTTGGGAAATTTTCCCCTAGCATATCCCTAAATATATCTCCCTAGAACACTAAAATCAATTGAAATTGGTATTGAGTGAAAAAGAAAAATCCACGGCCAAATAATTTTGAAAAACACTGGGTTTTAAAAAGCTAAATAGGTTTGGCTTCTTTGCTGTAAGATATGACAATGAACTTTATAAGCTAATATGTAATATGAAGCTTGAAAAAAGACTATTTTCCCAACTGAACATTGTTTTTACTCTCCACAGAGTATCTGAGAGACCAATAAAAATCATGGTTTATTTCATTGCGTTTATTGGTATATAATGTGTATCCAATCCTATATTAAGTGCTTATGTGCTAAGAGAGATCATATCTTACTGTTACCTTTGAGGATAAAACATTCTAATTAGGGAAATTAGAGAGAAGCTAAAGAGAGTTCATAATAGTCATAGATCCTATGAGATCGGATTCCAAATCCAGACGAAAAAGAACCAGAAAACACAGTCTAAATGTCACAATTCTCAGTTCTTTACTTTGCTAAACATATCACCGTACATAGTGGCCAAATGGAGAAAACAGATGAGGTATAACAAACAGGAGAAAATATATCCATGATATTAACCTTCATCCCAATTCCACCTTTTCTTTATAAATGGATACAAACATACAGTCAGATAGAAGGAAGAGGTTCTAATGTTCAGTGGCAGAGTAGGGTGAGTACAGTTAGAAACAATGTATTATATATTTCAAAGTAGCTAGAAAACTTGAAATATTCCCAATTCATAGAAATGATATTCTAAGTAATGAATACCTCCAAACCTTGACTTGATCATTACACATTCTATGAATATAACAAAATATCACACATACCCCATATATAAGTAAAATATACCAACAAAAAAGAATAAAAATTGGACTAATTAATAATCTTTAAGGCAAAACAATAGTAAATATTCTGAGTTGTATTTCCACTAGTTTAAAAAAAATGCAATAATTCAATTGTGTCCATTCATTTCTCCTTACTGTGACCAAATTAGTAAGAATAAATGGAAAGGGCTGGATGTAGTAACTCACATCTGTAATCCTAGCACTTTGGGAGGCTGAGGTGGGCAGATTACCTGAGGTCAGGAGTTCAAGACCATCCTGGCCAACACGGTGAAACCCCATTTCTACTAAAAATACAAAAATTAGCTAGGTGTGGTGGTTGGTGCCTATAATTCCAGCTACTCGGGAGGCTGAGGCAGGAGAATTGATGGAACCCAGGAGGCGGAGGTTGCAGGTAGCAGAGATGGTACCACTGCACTCCAACCTGGGTGACAGAGTGAGACTCCATATCAAAAATAAATAAATAAATAAATAAAAATGGAACCAGGTTGGCTTCTATTTTAATATCAATTTAACTATCTATAATCTTCATTTTAATGACTTGACAACATCCCTACCTCATGGAACAGGAAATAATAAAGCATAGTTGAGGGAGTGAAGCATACGTTAGCAGGATCAAGTATGTATTCATGAGGACAATAACAAAGTCCCCTGTTACTCTTAAGAGCTATGATTCACCTGAGAGATATATGTGTGTTAGGGGATTGGAAAGACTGGGAATGAATAAAAAAAAAAAACTGCCACAGGAAAACAATAAGAAAGACAGAATCGGCAGAGAACCGGATTCTTTTTCAGGGACCTACCGTTCCATCCCCACCACAGGCCAGAATTCGCAGATTTGGGACTTTCCTATACAATTCAAGCCTGTAGAGGAAACCAAAGAGAAAGTAAACAAAAGAACATTTCACTGGCTAGAGCAGAGAGAAACAGTGGACAACATGGGTGAGGGTGGTGTCCACTGGAGAAAATGAATAATCATGAGGGTGACAATGCTGTCATAGGTCCCAGGTAACCACAGGAGGAACGACTCTCGCAAGTGGAACACACATAGGCAGCAGACATTATTTTTGCATGGCTGACATTGGAATTTTAGGGATTTTAGGATGTCATAGTGTTTTAGTTCCCATAATTTCTGTTACATGTCAACATTATTTTCCTCATTCATTTTGACTTCCTTCTTTTTCTTTTTATGTAAGAAATCTTTTTCAGTAAGATGGGAGGCTTCCCCACTATCATTTTTACTACGTCTACAACTCTGTCCCGTCTCTTTCTCAGCTCAGTCACTTACACGCCACTTATACCTCCAACCCAAAGTGGGAAGATTGGCTGATTTTTCTTTATTTCAAACTTGCCTGCTTGAAATAAGATCATTTGTCTTTCCTGTTGGCTCTCAGGAAAATGCAGGGACACTGCCCCTTCACATTAGTGAAGCTGCTAGTGGCTGTAATCTAGAAAACATCACCTGTTGAGATCACAAAATATGTTTTTTTTTTTCTGGAAATATTTCCTGTCCTACCATGTACTTTGTTGTGACCTATGAAGTATCCCTCTGGGGTCTAACTAAAGTGATAACATCTTAAGAAAAAGAAGTTCCTAAAACGGCACATCCCAGGATAGCAGATTTGCCTTAGCACAATCAAGTACAGAAAAAAAATTATATATGTACATTATATACATATACACATGGAGAGACAGAAAGAGAATCTTACAGCAAACTCAACTGGCAAAGAAATTTATTCATTAAGAAAATAACAAACTAATTTTCATATTTCCTAATCTGCACACTTAAAATATGTAATTTCTCTATTTTATATAAGAATACTATTTCTCCAGATATAATCTTTTCCTCTGATACTGTTGCTTATTAAAAAATAGCTGGTATCCTTATGCTGTAACGTTTATCAGATAATATCTGAACTACCCTAGTAGATGAATTTCAAACAGGGTACCTGTAAACCAGAGAATAGCAGAAGTGTCCTTGGTCTTTTCCACTGTGTGCCTCTCCATCAAAGCGGAGAAAAGGATATGGGTCACCTACGACCTATACTTTATTTTACATACTTCTAACAAAAGCAGAGAATGAGATTTCTGAGAGGTTCAGAAAAGGGACTGAGCAGGGATTAATCCATCTTCCCCACACTTGTGCAGAGACCTCAGGTATAATCAACTAATTCACACACACACACACACACACACACACACACACACACTCTTCCTCTAATTCAAATGTTTATTGACAAACATGGCTCTACCCTCCACAGATATACACTTATATTCCCATTAATGTGCATCGCAAAAGTTGTACATGAAGAAACAGAAAAACAATGAGTCCCTTCTCAATTCACAGATTTGCTGAGAACAATCTACAGTTACACATACATAAATAACAAACACACTAGAGGTATTCTGTGAGTTAACAGCCTAGAAGATATGTTTTGAAGGGAACTAACCCATTAAAGAGTAGCAAAGAACATTAGATGAAGTTTAAAAGGAAGGAGAGTACAGGTGAGAAGGTAGATGACATGGTCAAGAAATACCTCACAAGGTAACCAGATACTGAAGCAGAAAGTTCTCACTTGCCTAAAACATATACGAACCGTGGAGAATATTTTGAAACTTACGCATCTTTTGGTCCTTCCTGAGAGAGATCAAAGACTTGCCGTGGATTCAGGTACCACATGAACATCTGCAGGACTTTGGTTCCCTGTAAAAAGTAAAGAAATACATAAAAAGGCAATAATAGGAAGAAATTTCCCAATAATAACTGCTCATTTAAAAAATAAGTTTTTATTTAAAATAATATGCAGGGCACAGTGGGTCATGCCTATAATCCCAGTACTTTGGTAGTTCGAGGCAGGTGGATTGCTTGAGTCCAGGAGTTTGAGAACAGCCTAGGCAACATGACAAAATCTCATGTCTACAAAAATTGCAAAAATTAGCCAAGTATGGTGTACATGCCTTTAACTCCAGCCCAAGAGGCAGAGTGTGCAGTGAGGCGAGATCGGACCATTGCACTCCAGCCTGGGTGACAGGAGTGAAATTCTGTCTCAAAAAAAAAAATAAGTGAGTGAATAAATGATGAATAAATAAACAAAATAATATCTAATTATAAACAACATAGAAGAGTAGTTAAAATCTTTGGCTTTGGCCATGGATATACATAGGTTGAATGTCGGGTTAGATGTTTATCTAACCTGTGTAACACTGGGCAAGTTTCTTAATTTCATTAAAGCTCAGCCCATATTTTCTCTAATACAGAGACAAGAATGACCAGTTTTCAGACTTCTTGCAAGGATTAAAAGCAATAGTTTTTGAGAAGAACATCACAGTGTTTAAAGTGCAGAAATAATATTGATGAATAATATTGGTTTTACTATTATTACTTAATGTATGAAAATCCATATAGAAAAGTTATTCATCAGCCTATGTAATTTCACATTAATTTTCACTTTATTGTGCAGATATTTGTCTGTATTATATAAAACATGGGCAGTATTAGCTAAGTATTAATATAATTTTAGGGAAATACTTTTCATCTAACTGAAGCAAAGGTATCCCAGGCTCCCAGTTATTATATATATGTGTGTGTGTGTGTGTGTGTGTGTGTGTGTGCGTGTGTGTAAGTGATACATATATAACTTCCTTAGTAAGACCACAGCTTACGCTGACATTTTCAATCTCCATGCCTCTATTGGTTTAAGCCAAACACCTCTCTCTCACATGAACATTTGTGGGGAATTTTTAAGTAACTGTGACATTTATAAAGATGCTCCTTATAGCAGACATAAGGTCACTTTAGAGATCATTTTTAAAGTCAATTGAGCAAACAAAAATGCAAAAAGAATCTTTTTATCAAGCGATACCAAAATAAATTTAAAATTGAGTAGGATGCCTCATTTTATCACCCAGAGCAAATAATATCTAACCGGTCGAGCCGAGTTTGTTGCTCATAATATTGTTGTTTTAGTAGATATCATAATTGCTCTTTCTTAAAATATTCCTAGGTTTGTATATCTAATAAGCTGTATTAAGAGTCATCCTAGGGCCGGGTGCAGTGGCTCAAGCCTGTAATCCCAGAACTTTGGGAGGCCGAGGTAGGTAGATCACGAGGTCAAGAGATCGAGACCATCCTGGTCAACATGGTGAAACCCCGTCTCTACTCAAAATATAAAAAATTAGCTGGGCATGGTGGCATGTGCCTGTAATCGCAGCTACTCGGGAGGCTGAGGCAGGAGAATTGCCTGAACCCAGGAGGCATAGATTGCAGTGAGCCGAGATTGCGCCATTGCACTCCAGCCTGGGTAACAAGAGCAAAACTCCGTCTCAAAAAAAAAAAAAAAAAAAAAAAAAAGAGTCATCCTAGTATAGTAGAAATAGTGCGAGATTTGAGGTCAAACTAACCTCAGTGTTCTGAGTAATCATGAGCATTTTTAACCGTGCAGAAATGCAGTATATAAAATGGAAAGGATATCCACCTGCCAGGATGAATATGAGAATTAAATGAATCAGTAACAGTCATGTTTCTAGCATGGTATGTGGCACAAAACAGACCTTTGTTAATGTTAATCCTTTTCTTTTTTGCAGGCTGTTAATCTATTCATTAAATTACACTTCAGAGTGTGAGCTCTAAAGTGTAGCTTATAATTATCACATTGTTACTCCTGTTGTTACATAGGCCAATACAGGTCTTTTGTTGCATGTATCAGCCAAACCTATAATTTAAAAGTTCTGCTTTATCATGTGCTTGCTATAATTTTAGGAATCACATTCTATCTAGTAATTACAACAAATCCTTCAGTTTCACCAAGTGACATATTTTGCTTCCTATCAAATTCAAACATAGATTTAGATATATATACACACCAAATACTGGATCATTTTCCCTCTCCTCTTGCTGAGCCTTGCTGTGAAATGTGTTTGGGATTATGTCGAATAATTTTTTATGTTTAATAGGTAACACAAGAGTTATTTTAATGACCAACTAATTTATAAAACATTTCCAACTGACTTGCTAGAAAATTCATTGTTCAGTTTTAGATTCCTAGAGTAGTTTGAATCATTGATGTTAATTACTCCTTTCCACCTTTGCTATAGCAGAGTGTACACCTCAGTTTCAGCTTCTCCTATTATGCAGATATTACTAGGCAATTAACATCTTCCAAAAACAATAGAAATGAAAATCATTGAGAGATGGCTTTTCTTGACCTTGAATTTCTCTAAAAGATCTGAGTGGCCACAGAGATGCCATTTCTGCTGCAGTCCGTTGGAATAACATCCCTGCAGTTGTGTAGAGATAACTTGCATAGCCATGCATGGCTACCCTGCTGAAGTTGACATTCAGGCAGAATATGATTACATCTACTAAAAAGTAATCTTATCAAAATACAGTATTTATTAGCAAACATGGTAAGTGTCTGAAAGAAAGCATTTAAAAAATGCTCCACCTAGTGGGTGGAGAAAAAAAGATGTAACTCACACATTTAAATGAATTCTATTAACTCTGCTGTTACCTCCTGGTTAAGTTACTATAAGGCTTTGATATGAGTCATTTATTAAATGTAACTGAATGGTTTGACAAATATTAATTCACTAGGAGAAGGATGATTTGTTTCTTCCTCAATAGCAAGATTAAATCTACTCAGACACCTGTCACTAACAAGTCTCCAACACTCTCATAGTTAACACATGCTATAATGCCAAACATAAAAGCCACAACTTTTGTGCAAGAGTCTAGTTGTCTCTAAATGAAAAAAACAGCTTACATGCCAATCCCAATCCATGGATGCTGTTGTAGATATACCTCATTGACCACAGAACTTTTCTAGATATAAGAATGGGTATTCCCGAGGAGTTAAAACATTACACTTCCCAGCTGCAGGTATTGGGGAGGAAGTGCAACAGGAGAATACAAATTCCCAAAAAGTGCGTGGATTGAACAAGATTCATTCATTCATCTACTATCTGACAGGCACAGTTTTAAGTAGGAGAATACGGAGATGAACAAGACAGAGATGATCTCACTCTCAGAAGAAAGTTCTGTGCATTATTGATAAAGGAAAACATAATGACAACTGTTGCGGGTGTGGAGAAGCAATCAAGAATGGGTCAGTTCAAACAGCACGTCAATCTTCATCAAAGCACCATAACTCTAGAGTCAGCTATGTTATTAAGTCTTGATTTATATCACACAGGTATAGTCAAGATTATAGAAAGAACGATTGCCCAGACAATAAGAAAGTCCTGAGGAAAAAAAAAATTTTTTTTTGAGACAGTTTCACTCTTATTGTCCAGGCTGGAGTACAATGACATGACCTCAGCTCACTGCAACCTCTGCCTCCTGGGTTCCATCAATTCTCCTGCTTCAGCCTCCAGAGTAGCTGGGATTACAGGTGCCCACCACCATGCCTGGTTAATTTTTGTATTTTGAGTAGAGATGGGGTTTCACCATGTTGGCCAGGCTGGTTTCAAAGTTCTGACCTTAATTGATCTGCTTGCCTGAGCCTCCCAAAGTGCTGGGATTACAGGCTTGTGCCACCGCACCTGGCTGAGAAAAATAAATTAACGAGAAGAAGGGTTTAAGAAATAATTATTTCAAACTGCTTCAAACAATCCAAACGGAATGCCTCATTTATTCAATAAATATGTATGAGGCTTCGACTCTGTCCATGGGTACCATCAGGATCTCAGAATCTACTGGAAGGAGACCAATGCAAAATAAGTTAATTCACTAAAGATGGGAACTTCTCTGACACAGATGTCTAGAGGCTGAGTCCCAGAGGAAACACCCTAAGCCCAAGTTGAGAGATTAGAATGCATCGTAAGTAAAATATCTAAAATGTGTCTTGAAAGATGAGTAGAGTTAACTATTTCTTTCCACCTCAAACAGATAAAGAAGTTTCAGTGTAAAAGCATAAAAAGTGTGAAACAGCAAAAAGCTACATTGCACTCACTTTTCCAAACCATGAGATAGGGAGTTGCAAGAGAAGAGATAGCTAAAGTGAGTTGTAGTTTAAATACTGTATGCTGAGAAGCTTGGATTTTAATTTATGGAAAACAATGACTCATTGAAAGGTTTTAATTAAGACACTCAGACCACTTTTTTTTTTTCAGACTGACTTTTTGTGTGTGTGTGGCTGGAGTCTTGCTCTGTACCCCAGGCTGGAGTGAAGTGGCATAATCTCGGCTCACTGCAACCTACTCCTCCCGGTTTCAAGCGATTCTTCTGCCTCAGCCTCCCGAGTAGCTGAGACTACAGGCATGCACCACCACGCCCAGCTAATTTTGTATTTTTAGTAGAGATGGGGTTTCACCATATTGACTGGGCTGGTCTCAAATTCCTGACCTCGTGATCCACCCACCTTGGCGTCCCAAAGTTCTGGGATTACAGGTGTGAGCCACCACGCCCAGCCCAAACTGACTCCTTCTTTTCTTTCATTCTTTCTTTCTTCTTTTTTTGAGACCCGGTTTTGCTCTTGTTGTCCAGACTGGAATGCAATGGTGCGATCTCTGCTCACCACAACCTCTGCCTCACGGATTCAAGCGATTCTCCTGCCTCAGCCTCTCGAGTAGCTAGGATTACAGGTGCCCACCACCACGCCCAGCTAATTTTTTGTATTTTTAGTGGAGACAGGATTTCTCCAGGTTGGTCAGGCTGGTTTCGAACTCCTGACCTCAGGGGATCCACCTGCCTCAGCCTCCCAAAGT